AAAGAGCAACATCTCCATAATAAATTGGGTAAGTTGACACAAGTGGGCAATTTACAAGAGAATAAATTCCGTCAGTGGAGAAGCATAGGAAAAACTGTTTTATCTCTGAGTAACCAACTCCAAGATAACGTTTTCCACCCACCACGTAGGAAGTTTCGGAATGAAGCTGGGTTCGGTGAAGTGTCACAAACACTGCAGGAGGGGGCCTGAACTACTGGGCAACATCTTCAAAACCCCTATCACTTTACAGAGTTTTTCACTCAACAATTGCAGCTCATTGATTGTATCCTAAGAAATGTATTCTAAGAAAATCACCACCTCTGAGTGCCAAGATTTAGTTGCTAGGATGGTCCTCGCAATGTTGCTTAGGTCAAGATAGTAGGAAAACCTTAAATTGCCATTGTCGAGGTTTAGTATAAATAAATGATAACACATTTATCCAACAGAAAACAGCAGCAATGGAAAATGTCATGGGAGAATATCTAACAGCATGAAAAGATGTTGAAGGAAATTTGTTAATGTAAAAACTTAGACTAAAAAACCAGCTTTGTGCGATAATCCCCATTTAAAAAAAAATTTCATTGGAGAGAGAGAGAGAAAGAGATTTGTTGTTCCGCCGAGCTCAAAAGGTTCGCCATCACTGTTCTAGTGGCTCCTCTGTGCTGTACGCCCCCTACTGGGGATGTGCCCGCAACCAAGGTACATGCCCTTGACTGGAATCGAACCTGGGACCCTTCAGTTGGCAGGCCGACACTCCATCCACTGAGCCAAATCAGACAGGGCGTGTTTTTCTAGTTTTGATATATATTATTATAGCCAAACTAGAGGTCCGGTGCACAAAATCCGTGCACGGGTAGGGTCCTTAGGCCTGGCCAGCGATCAGGGCCGATCAGGGCTGATCAGGGCCTTCCATCTGCCAGTCAGGGCCTTCCTTTGTTTGGCGCCAGCCCCTGGTGGTCAGCGCACGTCATAGCGAGCGAGCGAACTCTCCTGGTGGAACTCCTGAGGGGACACTGCATATGAGGCTTTTATAGATAGAGAAGATAGATTGCCCCAACCAGATTATACCCATTTAAAGCTGCAGGAGGCTGTATCCATTTAAGCTGTAGGGGCCTCTCCTCAAACCCTTTCCCAGGTAGAGTGTTTCCAAATTTCTGAACCTCAAGCTGGTGGGTAAAAAAAAAGGGGGGGGGGTGTTTTGAGATACCTCTAATTTGTATTTGCTTTTTGAAGCTCCTCTGGGCTCATTTAGCTCCTTTGTTTCCAGGAACTACGCAGCCTGGTGCAGCATCCTGTCAGAACACATGCTCCGGCCTGGGGTTTGGGTTTGTTGCTCTGCTTCCAGAGTGTCGGTTACGGATACTCCCAGGATACTCCCAGAACTCTCTTCCTACACACACCCTGTTCCTTTTCTCTTTTTTTGTTAATCCTCACCTGAGGATATTTTTCATTGATTTATTTTTATTTTATTTTTTTAGAGAGCGTGGAAGGCAGGGGGGAGAGAGAGAGAGAGAGAGAGAGAGAGGCATCAATTGATGTGAGAGAGACACATCAATTGGCTGCCTCCCACACATGCCCGACTGGGGCCCGGGATCAAATCTCCAACCAAGGTAAGTGCCCTTGACCAGGAATCAAACCCATGACCCTTCAGTGCAAGGCCTATGCTCTAACCACTGAGCACAGCAGCCAGGGTTCCTGTTCCTTCTCACTGGCCATCCAGTCACCAATTCATTCTGTGGTTTGGGGTTTGGCTAACGGCCAGTTTCATTAAGAGAATTTTCATTTTTGTTTTCCATACTGTTTTTGGGTAATCTCTGGGGTGAAAACAGGGAAAAGATGACCCTTTTGTTCTCAAATTGAAAATTCTAAAACAAAGAGGCAGGTGTTATTACCACCCATTTTACAGATGTAAACACTGAGACTGAGGCTGGTCATCCCTGTGAGAAAGTGATCCCGTGGTCCTGGTTCCAGCTCTAACCCAGTTATTTCCCTCATGACCTGAGGCAAACCACTTCTTCTCTCAGGTCTCAGCTTGCCCACCTGTAAAAACCAAGACACTGTGACTTTCAAAATGTCTTAGAAGGAGCCCAAAGTTGCTCTGAAGCTGACAAAGGGAGGGATGGAGGGGAGCGAGAGGTCATGGTGGGGGTCTTCCACCAGAGACCTCAGCTTTTTACCGGTATTGACATCACTGACTTATACCTGAGATGTATTTATTTATTTATTTTAATTGATTTTTTTTGAGAGAGAGAGAGGAAGGAAGAGGGAGAGAGGGAGAGAGAGAGAGAGAGAGAGAGAGAGAGAGAGAGAGAGAGAGAGAGAAACATCGATGCATCAACATTGATGGGGGCTGCCTCCTGCATGCCCTGCTGGGGATCAAGCCCAAAACCCAGGCATGTGCCCTGACCAGGAATCGAACCCGGAACCTCTTCATATCTTGATAAATGGGTTGACACTCAAACGCTGAGCTACATTGCCCTGGCTGAGATTTATTTTGTTAAGAGGGTAACTGATGGGAAGAAGAAGAAGAAAAAAAAAAGGAAAATCACTGTATTAACTCAGATGTTGCAAACTCATGGACCGTAGGCCTGACCAGCCCGACCAGCGTGGTTCAATGGTTGAATGTGGACCTATGAACCAGGAGGTTCGATTCCCAGTCAGGGCGCATGCCCAGGACGATCAATGATTCTCTCTCCATCACTGATGTTTCTATTTCTCGCTCCCTCTCCCTTCCTCTCTGAAATTAAAAAAAAGGGGGGGGGGAGGTTGGGGGTTAATGGGGAGGATGAGGACACATTTGTAATACCTTAACTAATAAAAAAAATAAAAATAAAAAATAAAAAAAGAAAGAAAAAAAAAGTTTTAAGAAAAGAAAGTGGGCCCTCACCAGATTGGCTTAGTGGATAGAGCACTGACCTGTGGACTGAAGGTTCTATTCCAGTCCAAGGCACAGAGTTGCAGGCTCGATCCCCAGTGTGGGGTGTGCAGGAGGCAGCAGATGAATGATTCTCTCTCATCATTGAGTTTTCTATCTCTCTCTCTCCATCTCTGAAATCAATAAAAATATATTTTAAAAAAGTAGCCTGATCACATATTTCATTTAATCCACAAAGTATGTTTTTTCTTTTTTAAAAATTTATGGATTGATTTGAGAGCGAGCGAGCGAGAGAGAGAGAGAGAGAGAGAGAGACATCAATTTATTGTTCCACTTATTTATGCATTCATTGGTTGATTCTTGTATGTGCCCTGACCAGGGATTGATTGATGTTTCTATCTCTCTCTCCCTCTCCCTTCCTCCCTGAAATCAATAAAAATATATTAAGAAAACAAACAAACAAACAAACAAACAAACATCAATGATGATAGAGAATCATTGATCGGCTGCCTCCTGCACACCCCCTACTGGGGATCGAGCCCACAACCAGGCATGTGTCCTTGACTGGAATCGAACCTGGGACCCTTCAGTCCGCAGGCCGATGCTCTATCCACTGAGCCAAACCGGCTAGTGGTTTGGCTCAACAGTTTATCCTTGAATTATTTTCCATATGTATTATTTTTTCCTTAGGAGCAACTGTATACCGACTCTTGCCCGGCCCTGCATTGGTGCTCAGCGGTATGCATTTCTGTTGGGGGGATGGCCCGGAGCAGAACTGCTGGGTGACCAGTAAGTCAGCACAGACTTCCGCTCTGGTGGCGCTGGCAGATCCCCGGTGATGGCGCCCACCTACCTCCACTAACTACTGGGCATTCCACTCGCCTGCCTTCCACCCACGTTACTGCCCGACAGGGCCCCGAAGGCATTGGGGTTTGTGACTCCCAAGCCTTCAAGAGCTTCTTTGAACCCCTAACCCTTCTCTCCTTTTCTGAAAAGAGTGAAGAGTGAATGGCTGTTCGCCAGGGTACCCGCTTCTCCCTCTTTGCAATTCTTGGTTGGGAATCCTTCATTTCAATATTCACGTCTTCCTCGGGCTGAGACCTGGAGGTGGGGCAGGAGTCAGCCAGACCTGGAGCGGGTGGGAGTGGGAGGGAAGGACTGGGGAGCATTCCAGGCTGCGGGGAGGCCAGGTCACATTTAAGTTTTCTGGAGGCCAAAGGGAGAAAGAAGAAGAGAAGGTGTCAGCACCGCCTGCTGAGGGGCTTTCCGAGGGGAGGGGGGGTGGGCTGCGGGCGTCGCAGGTCCAGCCGCGGAGGCCCTAGAGCGCACAGCCGGCTTCCCGGAGGAAGCTCGCCCCCCGCCCCCGCCCCTCCGGCCGGGAGGCCCCGGAGAAGTGCTGGGAGGACTCAAAGAAGTTGGTCTTGATTGGCGGGTGGGAGAAAGGGATGAGGCTGGGGGAGGGGAGAGAGGTGTGTGCGCTACTGTCATGTAAATAGCTCCTCCGGGCAGGGCGGCTCCGGGGCCGATTTAAACCTCCCGCACCTGGGCGGTCCCAGTCTCAGCGCGCCTTCCAGCCCCGCCGCTTCCCTGCCATCGGCTCCTCGGACCTCCCGCGCGGCATGGCCCCCAAACGCCAGTCCTCGCTCCCGCCGCCAGCGAAGAAACCCAAAGTGCCTCCAGCCCCCAAGCCGGAGAAGAGGCCGGCCCCTCCGGACGTGCCGAAGGGAGGTAGGTGCCCGCGCCGCGGTCGCTGGGGAGGGAAGGGTGTGCGGAGACCGACTTCTAAGTGATTTTCTCCCCCCGCCTCGCCTCCTTCCATCGGCTGAGCTGTGATCCCGGGTTCCCCTGGCGGGATTGCAGGCACAGGGTCGCGTGGATTAGGCTTCCACGGAGAAAGAGCCGAAGGGGGAAGCTGGGAGACCCCGAGCACGTGGGAGCTCGTCCCTGCCCCCACCCCACGCCAGCACCTACTCCCAGCTCGTCTCCCAGCCCGCGGGCTTCCGGGATCCCCTGCCTCGGTCCGTACCACCGCCCGCCAACCTGAGGCTGGGGGAGACTCGGGTGACTCTTTGCTCTCTCTCACCCGCCACAGCCGCGGGATCCTTGCGTGTCCGGGTGGTCCTACCTCCAAAGCCTCGCATATCCCTCCACCTCGCTTCCCTGCTCGGCCGCCGCCGGCCCACATTCCGGTTACCTCCTCCCTTCCAGCTTCCTCCTCCCTTCCAGCCGCGCAAAGCCAATCACGTGACTCCCCGGCTTAAAACCCTTCCTCTTGCTTTCCCATTGCCCCGAGGTGTAGACTGAGATTTCCAGGGCCCCGCCCCTCGGGTCCCAACCCCCACCCCCCACCCCCGCCCTCTCCAGGTGCTTGCCCCCTCCAGCACCGTGTACCTCTGTTCACCTCTTGGGGCTCTGCTCTCTCCCTGGGACCCTGACCCCCACTTCTTACCTCTCCTTACCTGTGCGAGTCTCCTTGTTGCCCAGCTCTCTGCGGAAAAGTCACTTCTTATCCGCACACAGTCTCCTTTGAGCTGCGGCTGCCCGGCTAGGAGTTTCCTTTTTTTTAAAAAAACGTATTTTTTATTGATTTCAGAGAGGAAGGAAGAGGGAGAGAGAGATAGAAACATCAATGATGAGGGAGAATCATTGATTGGCTGCCTCCTGCACGCCCCCCACTGGGGATGAAGCCCGCAACCCAGGCATGTGCCCTTGACCTGAATGGAACCTGGGACCTTCAGCCCGAAGGCGACGCTCTATCCACTGAGCCAAACCGGCCAGGGCTAGGAGTTCCCTTTTGCCCTTGCAGCTCCCGGGGTCACCCCAGCGTGGCCCTTACATCAGTATTTTGTGATTGTGGGTTTCATGTCTGCCCCTCGCCCCATTAACCCTTAACTTGGAGGTGAGGGCTGCGTTTTGCAGACACACAGCTTGGAGCTGGGCACAAAGTGGATTGTTCTGGTGATTAGGCCTCCCTGCTAGAGCAGGGATGCGGTGGGGCCTTCATGGGGGATGGGTTTGGATAGGTGGAAGGCAGGATGGCATTGTCCTAGGAAAACCTGACCGCAGGCTCAGTGGGGAGGGGCTGGGGCTAGGGGGTCTGAATCTTCCTAATTTGCAGACTTGGCTGAGGTGGAAGGAGCCAGAGTCCTCATCCAAGTGTTCCTAGGGATGTGCTGGGGGACATGGCAAGCCTCCTGCCCAGGGTGGCAAAGCTGAAGGCCAGGGTTTGGAACCTGGCTTTATCTGGCTGTGACCTTGTTGGGCAAGTGACATGGGCTCAACATTTACCCAGTTCTGAGGCTTGTTGTGAGGTGGCTTAAATAGAAGTAAGCCACTTAGGACTCTGATTGGCACAGACTCTGGGCTCTTGAGGTGGGTAAACTCCTTCCTACTTGTGAGCAGCACAGTGTAGACGAGGGCTCCCGGTCTCCTCCCGCTTAGCATCTGAGAATTCACCGGACCAGGAGGTGCACCGCAGTCATCCAAACCCAGAGGACAGCTCATGCCATTCACTGGGCACTGATCTGCCAGGCACTGTGCTGCGAAGCACTTCTCTGCCCGTCAGCCCTCACAACGGCAGCACTCGGTGGGTAATAACCCCATTGTGGAGCTCAGAAAGAGGAGGCTCAGAAGTGGGTGTTTATGTGTTGGGTTTCCTCTTCATCCTGGGACACCAACATCTCTCTGTTCCAATACTTAAGCCACGGGCTTCTCCTTCAAAGAAACTGGGAAGGAGAGGAGAGGGCGGAGTTCTGAGTGAGGCCCAGGAGTGTGTTGGAGCCGGGAAGAGGGCACAGTGGATGAATTATCTCTTGGTGTGTCCAATGCCACTCCCTTATTTACTGGAACTTTTGCCGTTTTTCTTTCTCTTTCACTTCCTCGTGTGTGATCTTGCATTCATTTAAATTTTTTTTTCCTTTTTATTGAATTTTGGGTGACGCTGGTTAACAAAATTATACATATTTCAGCTTCGCGTGCATCTGGAGTGCAGTGCGAAAGGTCTGGAGGAGGAGCGGGGTGCTCCGAAGGGCTGGGGTTGTTGAAGGCTCTGTGGAGCCTCTGCAGATGCCTGGGAAACAGGTAGATCGGCCACGGAGGGGATGCTGTGGGTCACTGGTACCTACCTTTGAACATGCTGTGTGTAGCTGCAACCCTCGGCACCGTGTTTTTCAGGATGTTTCATCCTATTTGTAGGTCATGCAATCATTTCAGTGGCATGCACCCTGATCTAAAGAAAGAAAATAGAAGACTAAGGGCCACATCACACTTAGTAAGGGGAAAGCATTGTTTTGTGTGTATTTGTGCACCGGGTTCTTGATGTCAGTTGCACCTCTACTGTGGGTCATGCCCCAAATGGAAAAACTCTGTTGAAAAGCAGGCGTTTGCTCTCCACTAGCCTGAGTGAGAATCTTGGCTCTGCCACTTGCATAAAAAAATTTGCATTTATCTGTACAATAAGGATATTGATACCTGCCTGTGTGTCATGAGGATTGAATGAGAAAAGGCATGTGCTTATCACAGCCCGTGGTCCAGGATCCATGCAATGATCTGGAGCCTGGTATTTCTTTCCAACTCAGTAACATCACAATGGTGGCAGGAAATTGGCCATAGTGAGAGTATGTATACACCACCAGAATCAGCAAATGCTGCAAATCAGGGTTTGTTTGTTTGTTTTTTCTTCTCTTCTGGGATCTGATTGTCAAACATTTAATAATACTTCTTCCTTTACACCTGTGCAATTGGGATAGGTATGGGTGGAGCTGGACTCGATTGAGATTCAGGTTTGGAAGGGAAGGATTAGATGAATTTCTGGGTTTTTGAGTCCCCAGAAGATATTTGTATTCTGTACCCATGGACGGGATGCCAGTTACTTAACATTTATTGATCACTCACCACGGACTATCTTGAGCAATAAAGAAAGACACTGTGCTTGTTGGAAGGCAAATGATCCAATCTCAAATTCTGATTACAAATGCCCAGGGAAGCTTTTTAAGGTCCATGTCTAGGGGCCCTGGAGGAAGGAGTAGAGTGAGGTGCATTTGCATTACCTAGAAAGCATTATTTTAACAGGAACGCCTTGGCCCTACTTAATGGTTCAAGACCTGGCCTCTAAAGCAGGCCTTTGTTGGTTGGCCCTATCATCTGGGACAGGGCAAAATGAATGTAACACCTTTCTATTGGTCAGTTGTGTGGCCTTAATGAGGTGCACGCTGCACTTTGCCAGGACCTGGCCCTAGGTAAGGTTTCCAAAAGGACCCACTTCCCTGTCTTCAGAGGACTTCTACTTCAGTTCGGCCCTGTTTAAATGTTACCTTTGACCCACGTCCCATTTGTCAGCCTTCTTTGCATTTTATCATTTTATAACAAATAGGTTGGGAGGGGAAGTGACTTGCCCAAGGGCCTACAGCCTGCTGGGCAGAACTTGCACTAAAAGCCAGGAAAAGGCCCTGTGAGTGAACTGGACAGCTTAGGGCTTTCCAAAGCCCGAGTGAGTAAAAATAGCAGTTTCCCCGTCAGGAAGGTAGGATGGAGGCGCTCCCTCCTCTCCCCCACGGAGGGATGCCCTAGCCTTGTCCCGGGGCGCAGAGCCTGGGGTGGATGCATTTCTGGGTCCCCATGCTACTACGAGGCCTGCCCTCCTGGGGGGCTGCGAACTCCCCTCCGCCCTGCGGAGAAGGGAAGCCGCTTCGCCACCACGTGATGCGCTCGTCCCGGGGGCCTGCGCGCGGCGCGGCAAGGCCCCGCCTCTGGCCGCTGCGCGCCGTAGCGCGCAAATGTCCCGGGTCGGGCTGGAGAAGGGGAAAGCGGGGGAGGGGAGCGCGGCGCGGGGGGCCGGCCCCGTACGTCGCCGCGTTCCTTCCTCCCGCCTCTTCGCCAGGCCCTGTGTCTCCTCGCCGAGGCCCCGCCCCCTCGTCCCGGCGCCCCAGCCAATGGCCGGGCGGCGCGAGCCACTCCGGCCGGGGGTGGGGCTTGCGCGCGGGCCCGGCGCGCCTGCGCTCTGCCGCCCGCCCCTCGCCGAGAGGAGGAGGTGGAGGAGGAGGCGACTCGGGGAGAACGAGCAGCGAGCTGGATCGCGGAGCGTGAGTGAAGGAGTCCAGCCGCTGGCCCGCCCGCCGCCGCCTCCCCTCCGTAAGCAGTAGCCCGGGCCGGGGCCCGGCACGCTGCCCCAGCCTCTCCCTCGTCGTCAGGCCGCGAGGGCAGCGCGCGCAAGGCAGGGGGAGGGAGAACGAGCGGCGCGGGAGGAGGCGGCCGGACCGAGCGAGCGCCCGCGCGCGTGTGGCGTGAGGGGAAGCCGCTGCCCGCCCCCTTCGCCTTCCCTTCTCTCCCCCTCCCCGCTCCCCCCCCGACCGCGGAGCAGCACCATGTCGGCGCCGGCGGCCAAAGTCAGTAAAAAGGAGCTCAACTCCAACCACGACGGGGCCGACGAGACCTCAGGTGAGGAGCAGGCGAGGCGGGGGCCGGCCCGCGCCGCCATCTTCGCCGCCCGCCCGGCCCGCAGGCCGCCGGTGGGGCCCCGGGGGCGCTGGGCGGACGGGCCGGCGCGCGCCTCGGCGCCCTTTTTTGTGCGCGCGGGGCCGGGGCCGGGGTGGCGCCGCGGCGGCGGACGGCGCTGCGAGGCGGGGGCGCTGCGGCCTGTTCGGCGCGGGCGGAGGAGACCCCCCTTCCTCTCCCCCCTCCCTCGCTCTCCTCCCCCTCCCTCCCTCCCGAGAAGCCTCTCTTTATTGTGCTCCGCCATGATGCCTCGCTCCCATCAGCCGCCACCGCCGCCACATGGTGCGGCCGGACGCGGCCCCGCGCCCGGGCCTCCGCGCGGCTCCCTCTTTGCGCCCGGCCCGCCGCCGGCGGCCCCGCGCCCCCACCCGGAGGCCTGCCCCCGCGCGACCCCCTGCCTCGAGCTGTGTCGGGGTGGGGGCGCGGGGAAGCACGCGGCCAGCCGCCCGCGGGGCCCCGGCCGCCGGGGAGGATGCTCCTGTCGCCCCGGGCGCTCCCCACGTGGGGCGGCCACCCCGCCGCGGCCGCGCGCTGAGCCACCTGGCGCGGCGGGCAGGGTGCTGGGGGTTCCTGCCGTGGCTCCTGCAAAGCCTCCCGCCTCCTCGGGGAAGGGCTTCTCGGCGGGGGGCTGCGGACCCGGGATGGTGGCCGGAAACGAGCCGCGCGCTCGGGGCCCTTCACGCCCACTTAG